TGGGACCTATCACCCCTTTCTTCCTTCCAATTTCTCTCCTTTGGAATGGGAATGTCTATCCTATTCCTGTCCCACCACTGTATTTTGGAAGCACATAAATTTTCTGGTTTTAAAGGTTCACAGCTGTAGAGGAGTTTTGCCTCAGGGTATATTGTACCTCAAGTCTCACCCATATCTGATATAGATGATGTTTAGTTGAGACTTGGAACTGTAGACTTTAAGAGTTAGTGCTGAAATGAGTTAAGACTTTTGGGTCTGTTGGGGTTGAATGCATGTATTTTGCATGCAAGAAGGACATGAGTTTGAGGGGGGCAAGTGTTGGAATGTTATGAACTGAGTGTTTAGGTCCCCTCATATTCACATGTTGAAGCCCTAACACCAGCCTGGTTATATTTGGAGATGGGGCCCCTAAGGAAGTAAGTAAGGTTAAATTGTTACCGCACAAAGGGCATGATCTGCTCAACACGAGACAAAAGCCCATCGTCAAGAGGCAAGGTGTTGGAAAAGAAAGGGCAGTTTATTGCAGCTTGCTAGCAAGGGAGAAGATGGCCAACTAATGTCTCAAAGAACCATGTTAAGGGGGCACAAAATCTTACAGCAGTTATATAGGCTGGTGGGTTATAGGGGAGGGGTTTAGGAATGTGGACCCTCTGGTGTTACAAACTGGGAGTGCCACACCAGATCTTTCAGTTTTCATTGATGATGGCTATCAGCATAGACTCTCTGTTCAGGGGTAATCACAGTCCTGAGGAACTCAAAAGAACAAAGTTATCATCTTATCGCAGCTGGAAGGTATATGCACAAGCAGGGGTCATAAAATCTACAGAGCAGTTAGATCTCCTGGAGGGTGCATATCCAGCTGGGTTAGTTTGTCAGATGTCATTCAAAGTTACAATAGGGTTTTTCTTTTCTACAGTATGGCTTCCCTTATGTCAACTTGGTCATGAGTCGGTATCAAAATGAGGTCATAAGGGTGGGGCTCTGATCCAATAAGTTTAGTGTCCTTATAAGAAGAGACACCAGAGAACTCTCTTTTTCTGAGTGCAGACAAACTGAGGAAAGGCCATGTGAAGACATAGTGAGAAGGTGACTGCCTGCAAGTTAGGAAGAATACCAAACTGAATCTGCTAGAACCTTAATCTTGGACTTCTAGTCTCTAGAATTGTGAGAAAATAAATTTCTATTGTTTAAGCCATCCACTCTGTGGTATTTTGTTATAGCAGCCAGAACAGTCTAATACAGTGGTGAATTACATTGCTTAGAAAATTAGACAAATTTTAAACTACTTTGCATTCTAATGTAGTCATGAAGTATTTATCTTTTTTATATATTGTTTATGTGTTGCATAGAAACTTGGGAAACATTTGCAGGCTCATGGTGAAAAGAATATCATTTTGGATTAGGTAAATTTAATAATATGGGCTTACCATGAATTGATTCTGGCTCTAATGTGTGAGCTCAATTAGAGTGCTTCCAACAGTTTGCTTGGTTGGTTGACTGAAACCTGACTCAAAGGTGGCCTACAATAAAGTTTAAATGCCAGAAATTGGGGGGCCAGCCTAGTGGCATAGCAGTTAAATGCACGCACTCCACTTTGGCAGCCTGGGGTTCACAGGTTCGGATCCTGGGCATGCACCGAGGCACTGCTTGTCAAGCCAAGCTGTGGCGGTGCCGAGGAAGACGGGCATGGATGTTAGCCCAGGGCCAATCTTCCTCAGCAAAAAGAGGAGGATTGGCATTGGATGTTAGCTCAGGGCTAGTCTGCCTTACAAATAAATAAATGCCAGAAATTCCTTCATATTCTGTGAAGTACCCAAAAGTATATGGAATTAGCAACACTATTGTGGATTTATCATGTAAAACGAGCTTACTCATCCCCTAAATATGTATACCAGTACTGTCCAAAAGTCAATCTCTTCAATGAAGCTGATCTGGCTACAGAAAATGGAAGTATACTATTATAAGATTCTGTACCTCTAGATATGAAGAGGTATAATAACAATTGAACTTACACTGCTAAGTTTATGATGCATGCTGTACTCAAGGAAGCACTTAAATAACAAAGTTACAGCCAATAAGCCAACAAAGGAGATAAATAATCTAAAACATACTCAGTTACTCCAAAAGAAGGTAGAAAAAAAGGAAAAGAGGAGAAAAGAACAGTTGGGATAAATATCATATTGCATGTTATTACATTAAACCTAACTATATTAATTCTCATAATAAATATAAATGATCTAAACACCCCAATAAGACAGATTGTCAACTAGATAAAAAAGGAAGGCCCAGCTATATGCTGTCTACTAGAAACTCACTTTAAATATTGTCACAAATAGGTTAAAAGTAAACCATGTTAAATAGAGATATGAAAGATAAGAAGAAAGGCCTGTCAAATTTCTAGAGATAAAAACTACAATTTCTGAGATAAAACATACACTGGATGGGATTAATGGCAGATTAGACATTGCAGAAGAAAAGATCAGTGAACTTGAAGACACAGCAATAAAAACTATCCAAAATGAAACACAGGGGGAAAAAAGATTTAACAAGTATGAACAGTATTATAGCCTAATTTACAAAAGAAAAGATCAGTGAACTTGATGACAAGGCAAAAGAAACTATACAAACTCAAGAACAAGAGAACAAAAGCTAGTAAAAGCATTTATTAAAAAGAGAAAAGCCTTGAGCTCTTGGCCAATGAGGTAAGAGGTACCATTGTGAGGAACGCCAAGTGGAAACCTCGAATTGCCCTCCACTCTCTGATCAAGAGAGTGAATGAAAATATTGTGGAAGGGTTTATATGATATGAAGAAGTAAAATGTATTGCGTACCTTATAAACCCCACAACACATTGTTATTATTAACATGTTAAGCATTCCTCTACCTTTTTGATCTAATGAAATGCAGTTATGACTGTTTATAGTTATAATGTCCTTGTTTGTTCAGTCTAGCATTGATGTCAATTTTGATTGATTGTTTTTTCTCCTCAACATTGTTCTCACTTTCCTGCTTTTACACATGCCTGGCAATCTTCTAGATATCTGATATACAGGGGTTAACAGAAGTTCCATACCCTCATGAAGCTTACAGTCTAACTTAGTCTATTACTTACACTCAAGACCTTGTACTTGAGCATAAACTCAGAAATTTGATATTTGTTGTCATATGCTTTGTATTGAGACTGATACAGTGACTAATGTTTATACATGACCCAAGATCTCTATATATTCCATATTAAAATCTTTAAGAAAAAAATTGAGATATTCTCTTCAAATGATTCTAATGGTTTTTACATTGTGCATTGATTTTTAAAAATCACCGTTTACAATGTCATTAAGATACCTCATCTACTGACTGGCCTCCACTCTTAATTTCTCCCTAAGAGACCTGGCTTCATGCCCTTCCTCAAATCCGTTTTCCAGCAGTAGACTTGGTCTGAACTTTATGCTACATCAGTTTTGTGCCACCCTTACTGACCTTACCCCTGACTACAGTTCATATGTTGCATATGATTGTATCTGATTATACAGATCAGATTCTGAAAATATTTGCCAGATTGGTCAAAGGCTTGTAGTATTCCAGTCTGGAACTAGGTTGAGTCCCATCTTCCAGAGCTCCTTTACCTACTCCTGATCCTGTTCAGTCTCTTCAGCTCTGTGGAATCTGAGATACCAAGCCAGGGTTAATTCTCCTATGAAGATCTACTTTTCTCCTCCTCCTATACTCCCCATACTTCCTCCAAGTCCCCAAGTTGAGAGGAAATGAGAATAAATGTCAGGAAGAATGTTGGGGTGGTTCCATCAATGAGGCAAAGGGTAGAGTTTAGACAGGGAACTACCTCCTGGAAGGTAGTTCCAGGTAGTTCCACTACCACAAGGAAGAGTGCAGCTGATTAGTTATCCAGGAGTTTAGAACTTCATGTTCCCAAGATTCTGAGAATAATAATTTGAATCATCAGGGAAGGGGGAGAGCTAGGATGAAAGCAAGAAGAGTCATCTTAATTTGTGTTCAAATTGCCTTATAACTTTCTCTTTTCATGTTTTCAAAAAAATCACCAAGAGCTGTGTTGGAACGTATTTTGTTATTTAATTTATAGGTTTGAATAATTAATTGTCCTTGGGTCTTAAGTTCATTTTACAAACCTGATTTCTCTACTTTTTCAAATCTACAAAAATTTTAAAGTCACATGGTAACATTGTATAATGCCTGGTCTTATTTATAAATTAAAGTTAAACTCATCCAAGGATGTTGTTACATTTATTAATTTAATATAGTCATTTCCTTTTTGAAGGACTTCAGTTGTCTGAAATAATATTTAAATAAATTTAGAGCCAAAGAAATGCAACAGCTAACCATCATCTGATATTGGGTGGGCATTGAATTTAAAAAAAATAAAGGAAAGAAAGAAAAAGAATATACAAATGGGAGAAGTGAATATAATGTGATAACCACTGATGTGGGGCAGAGACTATCTCCCTTGAATTATGGAGTCATTAACACAGTAACTAGGAATATGGTTCAAGGTATCCTGTCCAAAAATGTACATCAGGTGTATTACGTGATGTATAATGCAGTTGGAAATGGTACATAAAGCTATCAAACATTCCTTATTTTCACAGGCCTTCTTTGCTTCACAAGAACTTTAATATTTTGTTAAAGGTATTCCACAATTAGTGTGTTCAGTATTTTATTTCATATGATTGCATCTGCTAATGGATCAGGCAAAATGTACCACTCACTGCCTTCTAATATTCTATTATGTACTGACATATATTGAGGCCAAAGAGTTTCCCACTATCGTTATATTTCTACCCACCAGGAGCTCACTGATGATCTATCATGATCACTGATGCTGGATAGGGTCTAATTTCCAAAAAAAATAGCTTTCCTAGCCTCTGCATTCAGAAACTTTCTGTTTATACATAACCATATAATCAGCTAGACATTATTGCTGAAGACTTTTTCAAGTTGAATGTACCGGTTTTTTCCTATGTGTTTTTTGTGACATAAAATAAGACATAATTGACCACTGAAGGCATGACCACATTCACTGCATTCCTAAGGTTTCTCTCCTGTGCAAACCTTCTGTTATCCCCTGAGGGTGCACATCTGGCAACTGGCTGTCCCACAATGACTACATTCCTATCTGCTAGGAACCCACTGATGTTTAATGATGTCTGTGGGATCACAGAAGGCATTTGCACAGTCACCGTATTAACAGGGTTTTTCCCATGCATGAGTTCACTAGTATCTAATAAGCTGTGACCCTTTCTGGAAAGATATTCCACCTTCACTGAATCTATACATTTCTCTCTTGTGTGTACTCTCTTATGTTTAACAAGGCATGACATGTGGGAGAAAGCTTTCCCACACTCGTTGCATCCATAGGGTTTCTCTCCTGTATGTGTTCTTTGATGTACAATGAGCATTGTTTTTGTGGTGAAGGCTTTCCCACAGTCACTGCATTCATAGGGTTTCTCTCCTGTGTGAATTCTCTGATGTTTGATGAGTCCTGATTTTTGTGAACAAGATTTTCCACATTCAGTACATACAAAGGGAGTCTTTCCTGTATGAAATCGCTGATGTGCTATGAGACAGGCCTTCTGGCTGAAGGCCTTACCACATTCAGTGCATCCATAGGGTTTCTCTCCAGTGTGAGTTCGTTGATGGATAAGGAGATTACCCTTCTGAATGAAACCTTTTCCACATTCACTGCATATATAAGGTTTCTCTCCTGTATGAGTTTTCTGATGTAGAATGAGCTGTGATTTTCTGGAGAAACCTTTCCCACATTCACTGCATCCATGGGGTTTTTCTCCTCTTTCATTTCTCTGATGTATAATGAGCTCTGCCTTCCTGCAGAAGGCTTTGCCACATTCAGTACATTCATAAGGTTTCTCTCCTGTATGAGTTCTCTGGTGTTCAGTTAGCTTGAACCTTCTAGAGAATGCTTTCCCACATATACTGCATACATGGGGTTTATTTCCTGTATGAGTCTTCTGATGTTCAGTGAGCTGAAATTTCCTGAGGAAGGCTTTCCCACATTCATTGCACTCATAGGGTTTCTCTCCTTTGTGAGTTCGCTGATGTTCAGTGAGCTTGAACTTCTTGGAGAAAGATTTTCCACATACACTACATCCATGGGGTTTCTTTCCTGTATGGATTCTCTTATGTTCGGTGAGCCGAGACTTCTTGAGGAAGGCTTTCCCACATTCAATACATTCATGGGCTCTCTCTATTTTATGTGTTTGCTGATATTTAAGGGACTGTAACTTAGTGCTGATGGGTTTTCTACTTTCATGGAATTTAATTTCAGTATGAGTTTGCTCATGATTAGCATGGAGAAAGGATCTCCCATCTCCATTAAACTCAGCAGGCTCCTTTATGTCACAGCTTCTACTCTGGTTGATTAAACCTAAATATGATTTCAAAGTTTTTCCATGTAAATCAAACATATCATGATTTGGCCTTGAAGGAAAACTACTTTTGTTCTGATGAACTATATTTCCAAATGCATCCTGTTCATAACGTTGTTCCATCCTCTTCGGCATTTTTTGGTTTTGCAAGTGCTGCTGCAGATGATCATCAACTTTCTCAATTTCTAGGAAAGAAGAGAACAATGAATTCTTCCATGAGCATCATATGGAATAAAAGTGCTTCAAAAATACCTTGAGGTGGGCTGGCTCTTTAGTGGAAAACTTATGATATCAACATAAAAGAAATTCCAAGTATAAATGTGCTTTATCTCTTTTGTTTTAAACATTTTTTAATTGTAGTTAAATATACATGAGATAAAATTTACCATTTTAACCATTTTTAAGTGAACAGTTCTGTGGCCTCAAGTACATTCACATTGTCGTGCAACCATTATCACCATCCATCTCTAGAACATTTTCATCTTCCCCAACTGAAAAACTCTGTACCCATTACACACGAACTCCTTATCTCTTGGAAATGGTTAACAACACAATAATATAAAATATCAAACAAACCAAAAGATGACACTTATTAGTGTAAAACAGGGTAAATTCATAATGAATTAACGTAGATTTCTCTGCATTATAAACAGGGCCCTGGAGATGGTAAAATACAAAGAAGTCAGTGTTAGCATCAGATCATAGAGGTTGGAGGGACACCTTATCCAAAGTGGTGAAGGACACATTCATTCATTCAACACATCCTTCTTAAATGGCTATTACCACCAGGCATGGCACTGGTGCTGGAGAAACACAAAAATATTCTTTATTTTCACTGAAGTCATATTCTAGGGATGGAAAGGGAAACAGAATAAATAAGCAAGAAAAGGAATAAAGTAGGAAGTTGCAAATGTGACTGTGGTTTGAAGAGGCAAAGGAAATGAAGAGAAGTGGAAGAAATCAGGATTTATTTGGAAGGAAAGATAAAGAAAATTTACTAATGGATTTGATGTGGGGAGAGGTAACAAGAGAGAATCAAAGGGTATTCCTCAGTATTTGGCTTGAGCCAATGGGAAGCTGGGTAGTGCCTTTTAACAAGGTGAGGAATATTGTTGAAGTTCAGAATGTGAGGGAAACCAAGAGTATTTTGAAGCATATCAACCTTGAGATAATTATTAGCTATCCAAGTACAGACATGGAAATCCCAGTCAGTTATATAAAACTTGAGAAAGGTCATGATTGGAAATAGTAATGTGGAAATCATCAGTAGGTAAGTATTATTTAAGGTCAGAATATTGGAAGAGGTCACATTCTGAGAACATAAAGACTGAACGATGATGAAGACATAAGACCACGGCTTCAGTCACTTCAACATACACAGCTTTGGGATTTGCAGAGCCCACTGAAGAGACCTAAACATGAACCACAAGGTAGAGAAATAAGCAGATGCAGGTGTTAGAACAAATATCCCAAAGAGGCAAGCTGCAATGTTGGACACACCACACCTGCTTTCAAGATAATTCTAACAGACTTTTGGGTGCTCATCCTGTTGCTAAAATATGCCATTCTTCTTCATTATGGAGACGATTATCAAATTAACTTTCCCAATCACACAGTTTTACGGTCAACACCCTAACTTTGTATCTAGCTGTAACACATTCTCTCATGTTCCCACAGAGAGAGGGACATGATGATCCTTATGGACTTTCAAAACATTCTAGTGGGGCATGCAGTCTTCTCTAGAAGTAGATCTGCTGCTGCACCAGCTATGGGAACCCTCACCTTCTTCATCATGTGGTGCTTTTATAGATGTCATATTGGAATTTTTCCCATTTCACTAATCTTTCCTCTTGCCACTAACAGCATCTTCTTCCTACAGTTATGTCTCCGTTGGCATCCATTAAGGAGTGCTAAAGGACCACCTTCCTCCTGAATCAAGACTCGTGACAGCTTTACCTCTTGTTTTTCTTGGAACATCTCGCTATACCTTATTATTGCTACAATGCTCCCACCATGGTGAACGGTCAGACTACCTAGAGCTGGAAAAATAAAAAACCTTACCTTTATCATGCCAGCTTTATTATTAACACATAAAATTTGCAACAGTAAGCCTGGTAATAGAAGTTTAAAATTACCACAAGGTGCCCAGTTTATCTAAGTTTCTACTGTCCTAGTTCCCCAACAGATATCTTCTAAGGTGGGTCTCTTTGTGGCCAGTTTCAGGGCAGTCTTTTGACTGTCCCCACATGGGCTTGCACATTTCCAGTTTCACGCCTTCTTATCGTGTCTCTTCATCATCATCTTAACTCAAAACCCAGCTATATCTCTTGCATAAGATACTTTACAATACTGTCATTCTCCATTCTCTCTGTACTACTTTAGGCTACTTTTTTCTAAATTTCTAAAGTAGTCCCTATATTTACCCTTCACTTTAATTTTGTACAGATTTGCATTATAGCAAAAACGTTTCACACATTCAAAAGCTTAATTTGTAAATATTACATGATGATTTGTCCAACTTTTGCTCATAAAATCTTTGCTCCAGAAAGATATTTTTTTTTCCCACTAAATTCACTCTCTTCTACTGTGTATTAGGGCTGCAGTTCATCAACTAGCATCACAACAGTACCCCTAAAGAGCTTTGCATAAAGACACACACAGGCCCTCAACCCAATTCTATCCAAAGCAGACTCGCTGAGGAAGAGGCCTTGGTCCGGGTATTATAAAAACCCCTTCAACAAAATTTAAGAAATGCTTGCTAGATGGAAAACTATGGTCTCTCTCCAGCCTGGCTAAACAGTCACTTGATGAAGAAATAAGTGAACAACCAAGATGTATTTCATTCTTGCACAAGGAAGAATGAAAACCAGGCCCTTGACTCAAGAGTGGTAAAAAAGCCTCAGGCACCACCAAATTATACTGAGACAGTATCTTCAGGAGTGGCTTGTGTGATTGGGGCACAAAGTACAATGGAAATTCAGAGAAGATATTGTTATATATTGTGTAGTATAAACCACTTCATGAAAAGAGAATTCAACGTGAAAAATATATACTGTCCGAAAAGGAAGAAAAAATAAAAATCACATACTTACTTCTCAGTTCTTATCTTACTTGATGAATCAGCAACTCTAGACAATGTTGATGGCTCTTTCATGAAACACTTGCTCACCACCTGCTCTCTCCCAACCATGTTTATTACACACTCATCTGTCAAATCTCTAATTGTCCAAGGTGCTTGTTCTCTTTATCTGGACTCACTCCCTAGATCTCCTCTGGTCCCAGTTTCTATGCCTAGACCTAACCTCTCCCTGAACTCTCTGGGTACATCCAACCACAGCATAGAGCTCCTTGGATTCTAACAAACACCTCTAACTTACAATCTCCATTTTGAACTCCTGAATTCCCAACCCAAATCTCCTCCTCCACATATCTTCTCCATCATAGTAAATAGCAACTCCACTCTTTTCATTACACATGCCAAAAACTCTTAGCATCATCATCCATCTGTTTCTTTTTCTCTCTCACTCCATGTTGTGGGCTGAATTGTGTCCCCCAGAGAGATATGTTTAAACCCTAACCCCTAGAAGCTGTGAATGTGACCTTATTTGGAAACAGAGTCTTTGCAGATGTAATCAAGTAAAGATGAGGTCATAATAGATTAGGGTTGGTCCCTAATCCAATGACTGGTGTCCTTATAAGGAGAGGGAGGTTTGGGGATGGACACACAGAGACATGCAGGGAGAAGGCCATGTAATGACAGAGGCAAAGATTGGAATGATGTGTCTACAATCTAAGGAACACCAAAGATTTCTGACAACCACCGGAAGTGAGGAAAAGGCAAGAAAGGATTCTTTCCTAGAACTCTGAGAGGGAGCATGGCCCTACTAACGCCTTAATTTCTGAATTCCAGCACCTAAAACTGTGAGAGAATAAATTTCTGTTGTTTTAAGTAACCCAGTTTGGGTAATCTATTACAGCAGCCCTAGGAAACTAACATACCCCATATCTACTTCAATAGCAAATTCAATCAGCCTTAATATATATATACAGAATCTTCCAATACTTTCCCCTGAAGCCTAGCTGAAGTTACCAACAACCAGATCTCCTATTTGCTTTCTGCTTCAACACCTGCTTATTCCAGTCCGTTTTCTACCCATAGCCAAAGTGATACTGCTAAAACATATATTATCTCATGTTGCTGCTATATTCTAAACCTCCTCAAGTTTTCTCAATTCATTAGGAATGAAGTTGAGTCCTTGAAATGGATTACAAGGCTCTACACGACCAACAGACCTATCGCCAACCCCCAACCCCCACTGACCTCATCTCCAGTTATTTTCCTTCTTGCTCACTCCATTCTACCCACATGGGCTTCCTTGATGATCCTCAAACACACTCCTGCCTCTGCTGTGAACTTCCCATTCTCTCTACTCTTCACTCAGGAAACCTACTCACGTCACTCATCTCTCTGCTCAAAGGTGCCTTCTTATAGAGGCACTCCTATTCCTGAAAGGGCCGTCCCCAGCCTTACCACCCACTGTTCCACTATGCTGATGGATTGATGTCCACAGCCCTTTTCACCACCAGACATAATGTCTACGCACTGTTTCCCATGTTTTCTTATTGTGATAAAATACACATAGCACAAAATTTACCATCTTAATCATGTTTGAGTGTACAGTTCAGTAATATTAAATACATTCATAATGTTGTGTAACCATCATCACATCACACTTTTCATCTTGCAAAACCGAAACTCTATACCTATATATGTATTTTTGTTATATTTGTGCCTCCTCCTTTCCAAGAGTGGGGACTTTGAAGAGAAATTTCTGTGTCATAGTAATATGGTCAACTGGGACTTAATATCATCAGACTATGAGGAAGAAAAGGAAAGCTTTAGGGAGAAGAATCCAGCAACAAAATCTAAGTTGAACTAAAAGAAAGATTAGAATTAACAAATATACGAAGGAATTATAGTAAAGTGGACATGAGTTAGGCTAGGAACTGAGAATGAGAAATTTTATAAAGGACTTTTCTAATTAAACTAAGAACAGGAATAGGAGACACTTTAACTACAGGAGCCCAGAAAGTAGAGTAGATTCAAGGTAATGCCAGGATGGGCAGAATTTAAGATGTAGAGAAGTACAAGAGAATCTCAATTTAAAAAAGGATGATGGAAATGGATTTTCTTGGAGAGAAAAGGGTTCTAGTTCCTCACAAAAAGTGTGAACTCACAGGGAGTTGCCATGGAGACAGGTAAAATGCATGGAATTCGCATATAGATTAGATCGTATTAAGAGAGATGTCATCGTGGGAGTCTCCACAGAGAACAAGAGCTTCACATATGTGAATAACATAAGGCTTTAAGGCCTATGAGACAGAGCAGAGGTTGAAAACAGAATCTTTGAAGAAGCTCAGAGTGCAGAAAAAGACAAATTAAGGAAGCAGATATATGCACACCAAGAGACCAGGTTACCATGGGGATAAAGCATCCAAGGTGGGGTAGATGTTATGAAGAGAAATAAATACTTCCCAGTGAGGCAGGAAGGTGTATTAGTCAGAAGATGTGATGAATTCAAAGTTTCCTCTTAGAAGAGAGACATGGAAGGAGGAATTTCATAGCAAGAGAGGTGAAAGGAACACAAAATCATACTCTGACAAGTGATGAAGACTGGGAAGGTTTGAAAATCCAAGCAAGAATAATCCCAGGGGACAAAAAGATGACATCTAAGAAAAAATAAATAGAGATTAGTTCCAAGACAAAATAAAGGGGCATATTTGCCTCTAAATTCCCATAGAGAAAAAGAGCTCTTGCAGGGGGGAGAGCGATGCACAGAGGTTGTTTCTGAATCCTCAGACACCCCCCACCGCTGTGATGCCTTCCCTCAAAGATGAGGAAGTGATTTCCACAGCATTCCCCGTCCTGCTGGTGCCCTCTCACTTACCTGGATGGGGTTGACTGTGAATTTTATCTTCTGAAGTCCATGGTGGTTCTCCTTGTTCCAATTTAGAGAGTACATCTGGTTTGTTGACTTGATACCCTGTTCACGGGAAATGAGAGAAGATGTAGTTAGTCTAATCAGATTGCACTAGGGATCTGTGACAATATGAGAATGGTACATTTTAGGGACTGCCCAATTTGCATGTTTGCAAATTAAAGGCTTGTCTCTAAGATGAGGAGAGATTACACCTTCTCATCTGGGGCCCGGGAGGGGACTAAGAATCTACCACTTCAGACACCACAGACACTCCAGAGCTTTCAGAAACTGAGAATGGAAAGGCCATTGACTGGGGACCCTCTGAGTGACACGGGGGAGCTGTCCTCACCCACTGACACCAGGTTGCTGTAGTTCTCCAACATCACGTCCCAGTACAGGTCCTTCTGAGCAGGGGCCAGGAGCTGCCACTCCTCCCAGGTGAAGTCCACAGCCACATCCTCCAGTGTCAGCGATTCCTGTAATAACACGGTCCTGTTTAATGTATTTCTCTTGTTACTGAAATGGATGGTGTGAGATGATAGAAAATATATATACGGGTCTCTGCCTCTGGTTTCTGACACAGAGCTCCTAAAACCTTTGTAATTTCCTAAGTGATAAGAGCATTAGGAGCATCTTTTGTTCTAACAGTTGGTCTTTGACCCTGGTTCCTGAGACACGGCTCCTGAAACCCTTGTATATTCCTAAGTGATAAGTATGGGGTTCAGAGAGCTTCTGGGCTGCTGAACAAGTGGAAATGCTAGGAGAGCAGCTCGCCCAGATGGGCATGGAAGCTCTGTGCCCCTTCTCACCTACCTTGCCCTATGGATCTCTTTCATCTAGATGTTCATCTGTATCTTTTATCATAACCTTTTATAATCTGGTAAATTTAAGTGTTTCCCTGAATTCTGTGAGCCACTCTAGCAAATTAAGTGAACCCTAGGAGGGGGTCATGGGAACCTCTGATTTGTAGCCAAGTCAGACAGAAGTTGTGGATAACCTAGGGACCTACTATTTTCTATTGGCATCTGAAGTGGAAGTGATGCTATCTCCAGGTAGATGGTGTCAGAATTGAGTTAAACTGTTAGGACACCCAGCTGGCGTCAGAGAATTTCTTGGTGGGGGAAACCCCTCCACATCTGGTGTCAGAAGTGTTGTGAGTGTGGTAGTGGTATAAAAGTAAAGGAGAAACACAAGAGGAAGGATGAGGTTTTTCTCTATTCAAATGTGAAGGAAGCTGTTCTGCTCATTTTCATCATGTAGGCTACATCTATATTCCTATTTTTTTCAATGCATTGTGAAAGAAGCAAAGTCATATTAACATATTCAGTCATCGCACATTCAACAAATCACAAACTTCTGTAATACGCAGCCATTAAATCCCCTTGCTAACCTGAGATCATTTGCAATATATGTATTTCAGCACCTACTTGTCAATCACTGAACTATATGCTAGTGACATGAGAATGATGTAGTATGATTCCACTCATGTAAAAATGTCATAATAGATGTACGCATTTACGAACACAGATTCATGCCTATGTATGCACACACACGTGCACATATAAATACATATACAGATACAGATGTCCATACAAGTAAATGGCAAGAATATAGCATCAAGCATTTGTTAATGATGTGCCAGAGAATTAGGAAAAAAATATATGGAGGGGGAACTTTGTTTGATCACTATGTGTACTAGATAATTTGAGACTTTTCACCAAATATGTGGTGTCTTTTCCAATGTTAATTTTCCAATTCTCTGACACCAACTGGGTGTCCTACAATTCAATCCGATTCTTGACGCTAACTACCCAGGGTTAGCATAAGGCTCCACAGTTTCAAAGGGCTCAGTCCCACAAGACTGCCTTCACTTTAGACACCAGAAGCAAGTACCAGACGCCCAGGTTACCTGCACTTCTGTCCAACTTGCCTACAAATTCGGGGGTTTCCACAACCTCCGCCCTCAGGTTCGATAATTTACTCACAGAACTCAGCAAAATGGTATACTTACTATTACAGTTTATTATAAAGGATATAAATGAAAAGCTACATGAAGAGGTACATAGGGCGAGGTCCAAAAGGATCCTGAGTGCAGGAGCCTCTGTCCCTTTGGAGTTGGGGTGCACCACCCTTCCAGCAGGTGGATGTGTTTGCCCCCTTGGAGGCTCTCTGAATGCGGTGGGGGTTTTTATGGAGGTTCCATTACATAGGCATGATTAGTTACATCACTGGCTACTTGGGAGAGAACTCAATCTCCAGCCCCTCTCCCAACCCAGAGGTCGGAGGATGGAGCTGAAAGTTCCAACCCTCTAATCAATGGTTGGTCTTTCTGGGGACTAGCCCCCATCCTGATGCTATCTAGGGGCCCACCCTGAGTCACCTCCTTAGCATAAACTCAGATATGATTTGAAAGGACTTGTTATAAATAAGAAAAGACAGTCCTACCACTCAGGAAATTCCAAGGGTTTTAGGAGGTCTGTGCCAGGAACCAGAGACAAAGACCAAATATATATATTTTTTATTATGCCGCAATGAGTCATTTGTGTAATTAAAATAAAGGCAATACAGAGGTGGGAGGTAATAACTAGATTTTGAACACAGGGAAGGGCTCTGTATTTTCTGAGATAAGGTGAAGTTCTAAAGCAAACCCTGTGGATCTCAACAACCCAAGCCATCATCAAACAACAGAACTTATAACTCCCTCTGGCCAAATCTGTACTCAAACCCCAGTTCAATGACCTGTTCATGGAGGACCCTTGAAAGCTCTGTGAACCTTCCATTTTCCTGGGCACTCTAGTTTTTAATGCTAGTTTTTATTCAAGGATAAACCCCGATTGCAACAAGGCTGGGTAGGTAAGTCATCAGGCTGTGGTCTCCTAAGAACTCTGTCCACTGAATTCTACTTAATCTAGTCCCACGAGGGACTCAGAATAATCATGTAAGAAACAGCCACACATAACCTGCTCGTATATCTTTTAGAGGAAGAGTACCAAGCACACACAGTCCACCACGTCACCATCAAAGAAATCTCCCAAGACTTAAGTGCCATGGTACAGTGACATCTCCCAAGGAACTGATCTGCTTTCTCCTCAGAGTCAGTGCATATCCTGTAACTTACCATGATCCTCTGGTTGTGATGGCTGTCAGAGATAATGAGCTACAAGCTGACATTTATGTAACCACCAGCGTCCTGCAGAGTCATACATTATATTCCAACACTGGTCATGTAGTATGAACAATATATTCCTGATTCCACTTTGTCCTGATTTTAAAGGTCCAGTTTAAGTTTATTTCTCCCTAGAGCCCATTTTTCCCAATTTATACTTTTCATTTAATTGAAATGATTTTTTTAGGCCTCTACAAATTCATGAGGGAATCAAGTTAAGAATAAAACAAACCAAAAGTCACCTGGGCCTTCATCATTTTCTTCTGTTTTGGGAGATGTCCAGTAACTGGGATGTTCTGTTTTCAGTCTCTTCTGGATCTGCCCTAAATTTCTGTTCAGAAATCTCAGTCTCAAGTCAAAAGATGTTGCACGAAATGACCATATGCAACTCCAGGAACCTCCTCCTCATCCTTTACTTCATCTCTCTTGCTCCTTGGAAGCCAGGACCTGTGGGGTGAAGAGCAAGTTCATTTTGGATGATACATTTCCTTTGGACCCAGATGCTGGCCCTGCTTCTGTGCACCCACCTTAAGTCAGGGCCAATATTCCTAACTGTGCCTTTATTTCATGCCTGTGATATTATGATTTATAAGAAATATATATATTTGGTTATTCAGATGACCAAAATACATTTCTCAGATATATTTGGTCTTAATCCACAGTTCCTGGCTCATTGCTCCCAAAACCTTGGAATTTCCTAAGTGTTGAGAGTGATAAGGTGTCTTTTGCGGAGTTTCGGGCCCAGCACAGTGGCACGTGGAACCTCTCCGAAAAAGGGGCTGATGAGCTGTCCCCTTGGATTTTTATGGAGGATTCGTTACATGGTCATGATTGACTAAGTCATTGGCCACTGGTGACTGATTCAACCTCCAGCCCCTCTCCTCTCCCCGGAAGTTGGGGGGTGTGACTGAAAGCTCTGACCCTCTAATCCCATGCTTGGCTGCACTGGCAACTAGCCCCCACCCTTAGATGCTTTCCAAAATTCACCTCAGTAATGTAATAAAGGATTATCACTCTCATCACTTAGGAAATTCCAATGGTTTTAGGAGCTCTGTGCCAGAAACGGGGATGAAGACCAAATAAATATTTCTTATTATAAATCACAATATCACAGTAACTCACCCAAGTCATCCAGTAAGAGCAAGAATCCAGATTTAAAAACCAGATTCATTTTATCCCAAAATCCACACACTTGTCACTGGGTCAATATTATTTGGAGATACTCACATCTTTCATTTAGAAAATATAAAAGAATCAATTAAAAAGCAATTAGTAGAACTCCAGTTGATAGGAATGCTGAAATATTTAGGGGAAAGTATACTGATGTCTGCAACTTACTTTGAAATGCACCAAAAATATTTTTAAAAAGAAAGGAAACAAGATGAATTAATGAATGGAGGGATGGATAGATAACAAAGAGCAAATAGAGTAAAATGTTAATAGTACAACCTAGGTAGTAGGCATATGTTCACTGTAAAACTCATTCAACTTTGCTATATGTGTTTGGAATTTTTCATACAAAATGGTGAGTTAGAATAAGCTATTAGTAATAACAAAAGTTCAGTGGGGCTGGCCCAGTGGCGTAGTGGTTAAGTTCGCACACTCCATTTCGGTGGCCTGGGGTTTGCAGGTTCAGATCCTGGGTGTGGATCTACGCACCACATATGAAGACATGCTGTGGCGGCGTCCCACATAAAATAGAGGAAGATGGGCACAGATGCTAGCCCAGGGCCAATCTTCCTCAGCAAAAATAGGAGGATTGGCAACCGATGGTAGCTCAGGGCTAATCTTCCTCACACACACACAAAAAAAAAGTTCAGTGAAGTGACCATAACAAAATAAACATTTAATATTTTTAAATTGCTTTACTATGTTGAAGAAAATGAGATAAAAGATTAGGGGGGAAAAAAAAAGACCCTATTTACAACTGCAACACAGGCAAAAATCCAGGAAGGAGATGAGAGTCAGGGAAACACATCCTTGGGAAATGCCAAATTCTAATATAATCCTAAAAGTAATAACTAAATATTTTAAATATTTCAATGCAACCCAAATAGATGCATGTATTTAATCAGATTCTAGTCACAATGTCACTGGTTCTCTCTCCTGTTTATGTACTAATGTAGCCATTAAAAAGTTCTTAAGAAAATCTACATTATGGGAATGTTTACAATATGAAATTAGCTAAAAAGAAAAGCAAATTACACCAATGTTTCCACAGTTTATCTGAAATATGAAAATTAAGCAGAGAAATAAAAGACAAAAATTGAAATACAC